GTCCTGAAGAGCGGTGGTTTTCTTTTTTTCCCTTCAAGGCAAGCTGCAGACAGACATACGTTTATATTAGTTCACTGGGAAAACGTATATTTCGTACTGGCACAAGGTGGCTAACAATACAGTTTTAAGAGTGACTCATGGCTTCAATAAAGTGATCCTTCCTATAAGTGTTTACGTTGATTGCTGTGGGACCTGACACAGAGTTTCAACAGTTTTACCTGTCTCTGCACCTTCATGAAACAATAACATATGGGATAAAACATCACAGGTTCAGTTTACCCAACAGAGTTTCACCTGTTTTACCTGTCTCTGCACTTTCGTGCGAGAGCCCTCAAAAACGAAACTTTTGTGAAACAATAGGTTTGCCAATGCATCTGAAACCTCCAGTCCAGGGTTGCAACCAGCTGAGGCATATGTATCTTCCGAAAAAAGCGTGCCAGCCCTGAGATGAATTCAAAAGTGTACATCTATGCCCTGTGGTGCTCAGTGTCTTCCTCTGCTTCTGTCTTCAAGGTACTTCTTCTTTTCGTCCGGAAAAGAAGCAAGCAATTTTACCCAGGCACAGAGAAATTTTTCCATTCAGTTGTTGGAGTGGGAAGCAACTGAGCTGCAGGTGGGTAAGCTGGCATTAGGGGGTGGTAGTGTTCATCCATGTGTTCATGGGGGGGGCATACAAGGGGAGGTGATGGTGGTGGAAAGTGCCGTCAAGTCAGAGCAGACTTATGGCAACCTTTTAGGGTTTTCAAGGCAAGAGACATTCAGAGGTGGTTTGCTGTTGTCTGCCTCTGTGTCCAGACCTTGGACTTCCTTGATGGTCTCCCATCCAAATAGTAACCAGGGCCGACCCTGCTTAGCTTCCACAATCTGCCCAGATTGGGCTAGCCTGGATTGTCCACGTCAGGGCATGTGGGCAGGAAAGATGGCATTTTTCAGGGATGATGCAAAGGCATCTTCTCTACTTAATAGTTGCATGGCACATTCACAGATTCCCTTGGGTGAGGCTGTGCTTCCACTTACCATAGTGCCCAGATGTCCCTCACTATATATTCCAGGGTCCCAGGGGGAGGTGTGTGCATGGTATCCAAAGGGGAGGTTTTTTTCCTGCCCCTGCTATACAGGTTTCCCCAGTGCAGCACTTTCCCTATGGAAACGGGCAGCCTTTCACTGGCACCTTTGCTTGAGGATGCCGTTGGGCTGGTGGTTAACTCTCCCCCCTCCACCTAGTCACGTCTAGTGTCTGGAACAAGATGCGTGTTCTCTTACTGTGTCTCAGAGTCCATGAACCTTGTCCTGAGGCAGGCCTCTCTTGGCACACTGCACCTCTTCATCTGCGCAAGGGTCCTGCCTTGGGTTAAGAACATAAGAGATGCCAATGTTGGATCAGGCCAATGGCCCATCCAGTCCAACACTCTGTATCACACAGTGGCCAGAAATACCAGTGCCATCAGGAGGTCCAGCAGTGGGGCCAGGACATTAGAAGCCCTCCCACTGTTGACCCCCCCCCCAAGCACCAAGAAGACAGAGCATCACTTGCCCCAGAGCCCCTAGCTATACCTTGTGGCTAATAGCCACTGATGGACCTCTGCTCCATATGCTTATCTAATTCCCTTTTGAAGCCGTCCATGCTTGTAGCACCCACCACTTCCTGTGGCAGTGAATTCCATGTGTTAATCACTCTTTGGGTGAAGAAGTACTTCCTTTTATCTGTTCTAACCCGACCGCTCAGCAATTTCATGGAGTGCCCACGGGTTCTTGTATTGTGAGAAAGGGAGAAAAGTACCTCTTTCTCTACCTGCTCTTTCCCATGCATAATCTTATAAACCTCAATCATGTCACCCCTCAGTCGTCGTTTCTCCAAGCTAAAGAGCCCTAAGCGCTTTAACCTTTCCTCATAGGGAAAGTGTTCCAACCCTTTTATCATTCGAGTTGCCCTTTTCTGCACTTTTTCCAAAGCTATAATATCCTTTTTAAGGTATGGTGACCAGAATTGCACACAGTATTCCAAATGAGGTCGCACCATTGATTTATATAGCGGCATTATGATATTGGCTGATCTGTTTTCAGTACCCTTCCTAATAATCCCCAGCATAGCATTGGCCTTCTTTATTGCAGTCACACACTGTCTCGACATTTTCAGTGAGTTATCTACTACAACTCCAAGATCTCTCTCTTGATCAGTGTCTGCCAGTTCAGACCCCATCAACGTGTATTTATATTTAGGATTTTTGGCTCCAATGTGCATCACCTTGCACTTGGCCACATTGAACCCCATTTGCCATGTTGACGCCCACTCGCCCATCCTTGACAGATCCCTTTGGAGTGCCTCACAATCCTCACTGGTTTTCACCACCCTGAACAACTTTGTATCATCTGCAAATTTAGCCACTTCACTGCTTACTCCCAACTCCAAATCATTAATGAACAAGTTAAAAAGCAGTGGACCAAGTACTGATCCCTGCAGTACCCCACTGCTTACCACCCTCCACTGAGAGAACTGCCCATTTATACTCACTCTCTGTTTTCTATTAATTAGCCAGTTTTTGATCCATAAAAGGATCAAATGCGGACTTGTCCTTTTATCCCATGATTTTTGAGCTTACTTAGGAGCCTTTGATGAGGAAGTCAAGGTAAACAATATCTATTGGATCCCCCTTGTCCAATTTCTTCATGACGCAAATTTAACAAAGAGGATGCGGCTGTTATGTGACTAAACAGTAAGCAATCACACAGCAAAAAAATAAAAAAATAAGCAAAGCTGTGTGCAACAGAAGGTGCTGAGAGTAGCAGAAGCTAACGAATACAATATTGTAGTATATATAAGGATATGAATGAGAATATTAAATCATGAATAACAAAGCCATCAAATACAACAAGCACAAGACTAATACATAGATGCTAAGAAGCATAAGTAGATCGAGCAGGTAAATAGTCCGATGAGTTGATACGAAGGTTCCGGATATTAATAACTTCGTTTCAAAATTCTTCTTCAGCTAAGACTATTACAAGTTATCGCAGGTATAATTTTCAATACAACCAGGATATACACACCAGAAGGACATCCCTCAGAAGAATCTGCAGTTTATGTAAATGGGCAACCAGTCATAAACCGAAGAAACCTTAGAAGAAAATATTAACACCAATTCCTACTGCTGGTTTTCCTCCTTATATATATATATTACAGTATTGTATTTATTAGCTTCTGCTACTCTCCACATCTTTTATTGTGCACAGCCTTGCTTAGTTTTTGCTGTTACGTGACTGGCATGAGGCCCATCATAATAATGACTGGTCTGTGTGCATCTTACTGGTGAGCACAATTTATCTCCATGTACGGCGTGCCGTGAAAGGGGGAAACCGGATGCACTTGAGGATGCCTTTGGGGTTGGGGACTGTAGACCCACTCTCTAACGTTGATGAACCCAGCGTTCTGCAAATTAAGCTTGCTCAGGCCCATAGCTATGGTGGGGCACCGCCCCGTCGAATGTGAGTTACACCCTACGACAGCTGCTGCCCCATCAACCCAAAATTTCTGGCTACGGGGCTGAGCTTGCTTCTGTCTGTGCAGCCTTATCTTTGTAGCCCCTCCCCCCAACTTGCATATTATGGGCTACACTAGAGCAGTGGTCTTCAGCTTGTGAATCGGGACTCTTAAGTTGCAGAGCCCAGCCTGCTGGGTTGTGCTCTTTCTGCTGCTTTTTGCAGGGGGCTGCTGCTAGTACGCGTGCATGGAGAGCAAGGGTGCCACGCCTCCTGCTTTTCTTTGCACGCATGCTGAGAGGAGCAGGCAGATGGTGAAGTGAGGTCCCTGAATGATGGAGAGCATGGCCTCCTGGGCTTGTTTCTCCTCTACTGTAGGCCTTCTGGCTTTTTCTACAAAATGACCCCTGCCTCTACTGTAGGCCTTCTGGTGCGTGGTTTGTGCTTCCTGTCCTTGGTTCTCTTGATCTCTGCTTACGGTCCTGGCCTTGACACTGTTGGGGTCGTAACTCTGGCTCCCTTTCTTCCTGTCATGTGATGCAGCTTTTGGGTGATGGAAAGGTTGAAGAACACTGCACGAGAGTGTGGTCATGTTGGGAACTGGCTGTTTTTATGAGTAGAGCTCCAGTGCATCTCATACATACTAGTCTTCTCACATTAAATGTGGATACCAATTTCCATTCCTAAGCGATCACAACCTGGATTCGAACAAGGGAAGCCAAGGGAGAGGCAAAATGACAAGATCTTTGGTCTTCCCTCTTAGCCTGCTGTGTCTGTTGCCTTGTATCACCATGTGGTGCAAGGAAAGAAAGGAGAAGACGTTTTGGGGATCGTCCGGCAGCCACTAAACTACATTGATCAGACGCTTACCAAGAAGAACACTCCTTACCTTAATGGGGTAAGTCAAGTCCTCTTTGTGGCAGGATGGGCACTACTACCCAGAGCTTGGTGGTGTTACGAGGTATGTCCAATAACTTTGACTCTGAGGTCTTAGTACTCTTTGGCAAAATTGACTTTAGCTGTCTTATCAAACCTAGGCTGGACTTTCTACTGTATCTAGTTTTGCATGACTCTAATCCAGGTTGAGTAAGGGGGAAGAACACAGCCAGATGCCCTGTATATGTTTAAGTTGCTGTCCTGGGAAAGTTGTCCTAGCCAGGATCACAGATAAGAACATGAGACCAGTTCTCAGTTCTGCATCAGACCAGTGGTTCATGTAGTCCAGCATTCTATCTCACGTTATCAATTTCTGTGCCAAAGGGCAGTCTTTGAGATGTCTCATTTTCTTTAGCTTTCCAAAGTTCGGTTTTTAGCCAATCCAATCTTGATATAATGTCTGTTTGTTCCACTTCAGGCATTTTTGGAAAGGATTTAATTAAGTCCCCTTCAATTGAATTTTCCAAATAAGAGCAGCCTCTGTTGTTATCAATGTCCATAGGTGTTCCAGTTGAGTTACTTTTAAAGTGCATGTCAACACTTGGAGATGGTGACTTATGGACATAAGCCCTTTTGTCAGTCACTGTAGATCTTGTATGCTTTTCTTTAGGAAGTAAGGGAGTGATGGTGGTATTAACAAAAACCCTAGTTGGTAGAATTCCTTTTGACGACAAATAGCTCCTATGTTTCAGAATCAGTGTAGGCATTTTGGGGGTCTTGAAGATCAGTAGTAATCTCTGTGCATAGTATGAACTAGGTAGTACTTCTAATGAGGTTAAGTCAACTGCAGCAATATACTCTGGAAAAAGGGATCTCAGATGAAAAGCAGCCTGTTTTACAGACTTCCAATTAGGCATCATACCCTTGTAGTGGGTCACTGTAATACAGACCTTGTGAGCTTGTAAAGTCAAGTTGTAAAGTCTCTTGCTACTAGATAGCTTTTGTCCTGTGCTGTCATCTTTTAGAGTGGTTTTGTTGTTCAGTTGCACAGTCGAGTCCGACTCTTCGCAACCCCATGGACCAGCTCCCGCCAGGCCTTCCGGTCTTCCGTCGTCCTCAACTTCATGTTCGTTGCATCTATGACACTGTCTAACCATCTCATCCTTTGCCGTCCCCGTCTTCTTTGACCTTCAATCTTTCCAAGCATCAGGGTCTTCTCCAGTGAGTGCTCCCTTCTCATTTGGTGGCCAAAGTATTTGAGCTTCAGTTTCATTATCTGGCCTTCCAGGGAACAGTCAGGGTTGATTTCTTTTAGGATTGACTGATTTGATCTTCTTGCAGTCCAAGGGACTCTCAAGAGTCTTCTCCAGCACCATAGTTCAAAAGAATCTATTCTTCGGCGCTCGGCCTTCCTTATAGTCCAACTCTCACAGCCATACATGACTACTGGGAATACCATTGCTTTGACCATGCGGACTTTTGTTGGCAGGGTGGTGCCTGTGTGCAAAACATCAACTGCATTGCCAGCTGCATTTGGAAATATTGCTGGACTCATTAATTTAGCTATCACTTTAGTAATCCCTTCAAGGTTGCTTCTTATTCCACGTAACGCCTCAAATATACATTTGACTGCCTCCGCAGTTAACATACATAAGTCATTCCCTAAGTTGTCAGGCAGCCCTGCTTTCATAGATACTTGTTGTATCACTTGGGCATCCGCATTACACTCTGAAGTAGTAGCTGAGTCGGGAGGAGTGTCCGAGGTATACTCCAGAGTAACAGCTTGATCAAGAGGAGCATATCTGTTTGATGTAGGAATATTAAAAACTAGGGTTTCCCTGGTCTCCTTGGTTACGAAGTAATCCTTTATCTTCTTCTGTTGACTTGCTGGAAGAGTAGTTATATCTTCTATATCTCGAGCTCTCTTGCTTCCTTTTGTTAAGTCCATCCTACTTGAGAGTAAGCTACAGGGGTATGTTTCTTTAAAGTCAAATAGCTGTTGTAGCTGTTGTATTGTTGTTGTATTCTTACAAGCTGTTATATCGTTAAAAAAAATTCGCAGTTGCGATTGAGGCAGTTGAAGCAGAGAAAAAAAAGAAAAGGCTAGGGTGTCTGAGAAACTCTATTCAAATGTTTTTCCCCGTTCTAGCTGCTGTTTCTCGTAAAACACTTCCCAGGCTTATCTCAACAGTAAAACTCGGTGCCTGTAGGAGTGAGATTAGAATTCAAACGTTCAGGGGCAGCCAGCCCAGATAATATGCTCAGCAATAACTAACGGTGGTAAATTACAAAGACATAAGAAGCAAAATTGGGAGTAAATAAGAAATAATGTGCGGAGCGCTGTTAATCAGTGCTGCAACCTCGGCGCCATCTTGAAAGGTCCACATTCTATCTCACATAGTGGCCGACTAGTCACTGTGGAGGGCCAACAACGGGGTATAGAGGCCGAGGCCCTCCCCTGATGTTGCTCCTGGCCTCAGTTAAAACTGGTATAATATGCCTTTGTTAACACCCGGATAAGGCTATTGTAAGATGCAAGTATGTGGGGCTCTCTTTGAAGATGATTAGAGAACCTGATCTGCTTCAGAGAGCTTAACAGGTACTTACCGCAATGACCGCATAACACCAATTTTGTACCAGTTACGTTAGCTCCCAGTTTGTTTCCAGGCACGATTTACAGTGCTCCTACAAAGTCCTACATGGCTTAGGGGTCAGAGTAAGCCTCCACTCTCCTGGAGGGTTATTGCTTCACTACAGGCAACCTCCTTTTTCAGAAGGTTGGTTAGCCTGGGGCCACAGACGGGACTCTTCTTGGTGGCTGCGCCTAGATTGTGCGACTCTCTCCCTCCCCCAGAAAGTGCACTTATCTTTGCAAAGTTAAGGACTAGAAACTTCCTTGCTGACAAAACGGTTCTTTGGATGCTGAATGTTGTGCATTCGGCAGTGGATTCCCAGAAAATACAGTTTGAGTACAGGATGTTTTATGGCAGAAGGCTGCACTGATTCTTTCTGTCTCTATAATTATAGTATTTCTAAGTAACTTCCGGCAAACAGGCTATCTGTTAAAAACACAGAGTCAGATCCTGTCTGAATTCCATGTATAGAAGCATGACACCTCCCCTTCCTGCTGTGGTCAGAAATGCCCCCCGTGCTTCTCCTGGGGGACGAGGGACCCCCCCCCAAAGCAACATGAAGGGAGTTTTGAAGGGTTGCTAGCATCGCTTTGCCCCTTTCCCTTGGTATCCAAGCCATATTGTTACAATACATTTGCAGCAAGACGTCATTGAACCGAAACAGTTACTGCTATCGAGCTTTCTCGTATTTTAATATTGAGTTTAATTTGATACTGCTGTCACTGAAAAGAAACCCTTCCTTTTGGAAGTGCACTGAAACTGTACAATACCTATTCAGGGTGTCTCTCCTGTGCAGATAGGTGGGAATCAATTGCCTTTGATCTTTTAAATCCAGGATGCCGAGTCAACAGTTGACATTGTCTTCTGGGGAGCCCTCTTCCCTCTGTTACAGGATGGAACCGTATTGCCAGGTGAGAGCTGCTGTCCAAGTCACATTGTATTGTGTGCTGTCAAGTTGGAACGGACTCCTGGCGACCCCAGGACCATAGGGTTTTCGAAGCAAGAGGTGAGCAGAGGTGGTTTCCCATTGCCTTTCTCTGCGTAGCAACACCAGTCGTCCTTGGTGGTCTTGCGTTCAAGTACTTCTTCTTATTATTATTATTAGAATTATTATCGTATGGCAATGTGTGCATTATAGCCTGGAGATCCTAAGATTGTCTGGCAGACTGGAGTTTAAGCTTTTTTAGCGTTATGCACCACTAGGTGGTGAGCTGGACTTGTTTTCAAGTACTTATTATTATTATTATTATCGTATGGCAATGTGTGCATTATAGCCTGGAGATCCTAAGATTGTCTGGCAGACTGGAGTTTAAGCTTTTTTTTAGCTATGCACCACTAGGTGGTGCGCTGGACTTGTTTTTAAAGCAAGAGACGTTTCAGAGGTGGATTCCCTTTGCCTGCCTCTGCGTCATGTCCCTGGTATTCCTTCTAGGTCATCCTTCCTCATACTAGCCAAGGCTGACCCTGCTTAGCTTCCAAGATCGGATGGGATCGGGCTGGCCTGGGCCATCCAGGTCAGGATCATCTCAAGTACTGACAGTGGCCCACCACGTTTAGCTTCTGAGATCAGATGCGACCAGGCTAGCCTGGGCCATACAAGTTACACGAGTGTAGTTTTTTGGTGTGTGGGAATCCCCTTTAAGAAGACAAAACAACAACTTTTATCTACCAATTGACAACAGGCTTAGGTCAGAACATAAAATGAACCATGCTGGATCAGACCAAAGGCTTGTCAAGTAGTTCTGTTCACACCGTTCACACAGCTGCCCCCAGGAAGGCCTCAAGCCGGATGGCTGCAGCAGCATCCTCCCACTGTGCTTCCCGGCAACAGATTTAAAGAGACTGTCGCGGTTTTTGTGCAGACTCTGGCACTGTTTTGTCCCCCCCCCCTCCAGTGACTCCCACCACTCTGGGTAAAATCCAGCCCCCTTCTCTCTAACATGGTTGCCTGAAGCCAGCCTTGTAATTGGGTTGTTCGCTAGCATGCCAAGGAGACAGGCGGTAAGGACTTGTGGAGACTCTCTGGTGTCTAATAAGACTTTATTTCTACAAGGCACAAACTTGGGGTACTGCAAAAGCCAGGATCTAGGTGCATTAAGGAAAATAAACAAGAAGACAGGCTCTCTCACTGAAGTACTCGCAATCAATGTTCCCTCTAAGCTGTGGAGTCGTGTGAGCAAAAATTCTACTTTGTGAGCTACTGGCACTAAAGTTGTGAGCGAACACTTTGGCTCCTGCATAAATTAGTTTGCTCTGGAGCCCTCTTTCCTGAGCCAAGACAAAAATGTGTGAGCCGGAGGCTAAAAAACTGTGAGCTAGCTCACACTAACTCAGCTTAGAGGGAACACTGCTCGCAATCTGTGTTGCATCTGATCTGGGTAGATGCAGGATGTCCCGGTGCATCTGCATCCCTCCTTCGCGTTGTTCCCCTCTTGTCATCCTTCATGGCAAAAACATGCTCCCCAGAGTTGCCAGCCAAGAAGGAAAACCCAGAAGGAAGCTCCCGACAAAGGAACAACTCACCTTTTCAGACTCCGCGCCCACATGTGCCCTGGGGTCTTCAGCCAATCTGGGTGCGAAGCCTTGGGTCTCCAGCCCGCCAAACCTGCACCCTCCAGTAAGGAGGTGTTTACACATCAAAAGGGCTGGCCTGTTCTCTCTCCTAGCTGGAAAGGATGCCCTGTTCTGCCAAAGGGCATCTTTCCCCCTTCCTAGCCATGAAGATGCCTGGACCTCTTTCCGTCATCATAGCTGTCAAGTCATGTCCTGTCCCACCTCGCCTCTCATCTCACTACAGAAGCACACTTTGTCTGGTACCGGAGGGAGTAGATGCCCATTATGACTAGTAGCGATTGATAGCCCTGTCCGCCATGATGTTGTCCACTGCCCTTTTAAAGCCTCCCAAGTCACAGAATCATAGAAGTGACCTCCAGGGTCATCTAGTCCAACCCCCTGCACGATGCAGGAAATTCACGACTACCTCCCCCCCGGAACCCCCAGTGACCCCTGTTCTATGCCCAAAAGATGGCCAAAAAATCCTCCGGGATCCAAAAGAAGGGAAGGGTTTCTTTTCAGTGACAGTAGTATCAAATTAGAACCGTCAGGATCCATCACCACATCCTGTGGCAGTGAGTTCCATAATTTAACTGTGCACTCCTGACTCTCCCGCCATTCAGCTTCAGCGGCAGGTCCGTAGCCAGGATTTTGTGGCTTGTTGAGCAGTTTTTTTTTCTGGTGGGGCTGACGTTCTCAGTGCAGGGACGGGAAACCATTTAGCCAATAGAAAGCTGTTACCAGGACAGATCTCTAAATTGCAAGCTGTCAACCACTTTAGATGACCGTTCTCAGCCACTGCAAGTTAATCACTTCTGCCTGCCTAAGCAACAGTTCTGAGAACAAGCTGGCAGGTGGGGGTGATGACTTCGTTAGTCAAGAAAGCTAACACAGGCAGAAAAACTCTCTCAAAGGACACACAGAAGGGATCATAGAGGTCACCTACTCCAACCCCCTTGCTCAGTGCAGGGATTAGTCAACTACAGCACCCCACTCTGCTTAAAGGAGCACACATCTTTAAAAAAATGTTTTTAAATGATTGAAGAAAGCATTTGCAGGAGAAATTCTTGTGGGGCTGTGTCTTTAAGAAAGGGTGTGGCGCCCCCAAAAGCCCCACCGTAGCTACGGGCCTGCTCAGCGGATGATGCCAGATTCGAAGCAGCCTCTGCTGGGGCAGCCTCTCACATCCCCACTCCTTGGTTGGAATCTGCCACTCTGCTCAGCTAACTGCGGAGGCTGTTCCATCCAAAGAAGACTGGAGGGCCCCAGCGTGTTAACTCACAGTTCATACACTGGGGAAGCCGGTTCTGTGTATTATGCCCATCTTTATTGCATTGATTTCTGATACTGTAATCTGCCTTGCATCTCTACAAGAAAGGTACACCATAGAGTAAGTAAGTCTTTCTTTTGTGGCTGCCGACTTGAGAGCCAGTTGGGTGTAGTGGCTAAGAGTGCGGACTCTAATCTGGGAGAACCGGGTTTGACTCCCCACTCCTCCACATGCGTGTGCGGGTGTGACCTTGGGCCAGCCATAGGTTCTTTCAGAGCTGTTCTCCCAAGGGCAGTTCTCAAGAGAGCTCTCTCAGCCCCACCTACCTCACAGGGTGTCTGTTGCGGGGAGGGGAAGGGAAAGGAGATTGTAAGCCGCTCTGAGACTCCTTCGGGTATTAAAGGGTGGGTTATAAATCCAATCCCCCCTTCTTTCTTATGCCCAGTATAGAAGGCGTAGGGGTGACTGGAAATTTACTGTTGCAGGCCAATATCATTCCTTGGGGGCGAATCCTTTAGCATCTAGCTGTCTCCTGAGGATTCTTTGTGTATCTGCCTTGGAATCCCTGCCTCTTTAGAGAAGAAGAAGAAGAGATTGGATTTATACCCCACCCTTTACTTGGAGTCTCAGAGCAGCTTACAAACTCCTTTCCCTTCCCCTCCCCACAACAGACACCCTGTGAGGTGGGTGGGGCTGAGAGAACTCTGACACAAACTGCTCTTTTTCAAGAACAGCTGTGCCAGAGCTTGTGACTGACCCAAGGTCACATCAGCAGGTGCAAGTGGAGGAGTGGGGAATCAAACCTGGTTCTCCCAGATTAGAGTCCGCACACTTAACCACTACACCAAACTGGCTCCGAAGAGGATTCTGAAGCAAGTTCTGGGGTGTATCAGTGGCTGATGTGGGTGACTGATTAGGCCTATTCAGCCTGGGTGATTCACCCTCACTTGAATGACAGGGTGACCTAATTCTTCCTTGAGCATAGGAGAAGTGGGGAAGCTCAATGTCATTAGTCATGTTCTCACTGATAAGTTTCCAGGGATTCCCTAGAACACAGTCCGGAAACCTCCCTGGGTGATTCTGTGTGATACTTTGCCTTACCGAGAGTAGCCTTCTGCTAGGCAGCTGGTTCTGGGGCAGTGGCAGGGGAGACTAGCATGCCTTGACTGTGGTGGGTTCCTTGGTTCTTGCCCATGAACTGAATCGGCCATTCACCAAAGCAGTGGAGCTGTGGCTTGATGGCAGAGCTTGTGTCTCGCATGCGGAAGGTTCCAGGTTCAGTCCCTGGCATATCCAGTTAAAATGAGCAAGTGGCGTGAAAGACGTCTACCTGAGACCCCCAGTAGCCACTGCCAGTCAGAGTGGGCAATACTGAAAGAACAAAGGACTAAGGCAGCTACATGTGTGTCATCTGAAGACGGGGTTTGTTTGTCTGTTTGTTTGGAAGAGCCCTCAAGCATCTGTACCATGGTGTGTGTTTTTTCCCCTTGGGGACTGGGTTGTGGTCTCTTTGAATTTTGAAGATGACCTGAAAGTCCTGAGGAACTGGTTCCAGAACATGAGCCTGAAGGAGCACTGCAAGAAGACTGTCGAAACTGTGTGGACACGCAAAGGAGTACAGGAGCTGAAGGCCCACCTGCAGAAGCAGTCTGGTCCCTCCCTGGCCTTTGAGAAGCCTGCTACAGATGAGCCGAAGGTATTGTTTCCCCCTTTCTCTGTGAGGCCCACGGCCTGGTTTATACAAGCAACAAGTGGAGGTTGTAATCAATGTTCCCTCTAAGCTGTGGAGTCTTGTGAGCAAAAATTCTACTCTGTGAGCTACTGGCATGAAATTTGTGAGTGAGCGATTTAGCTACTGCATAAATTAGTTGGCCCTGGAGTCATCCTTTCTGAGCAAAGACAAAAATCTGTGAGCTGGAGGCTGAAAAACTGTGAGCTAGCTCACACTAACTCAGCTTAAAGGGAACACTGGTTGTAATACGGATGTCAGACTGCCCCACCTCAGGTGCGTGCTGCACAATTGAATGCTTCCCCCCCCCTTTAAAAAAAAAATACTCTGTGAGCTACTGGCATGAAATTTGTGAGTGAGCGATTTAGCTACTGCATAAATTAGTTGGCCCTGGAGTCATCCTTTCTGAGCAAAGACAAAAATCTGTGAGCTGGAGGCTGAAAAACTGTGAGCTAGCTCACACTAACTCAGCTTAAAGGGAACACTGGTTGTAATATGGATGTCAGACTGCCCCACCTCGGGTGCGTGCTGCACAATTGAATGCTTCCCCCCCCTCTTTAAAATTTTTTTTAGCACATATACAAAATTAGCAGATTAAGGAGGAGGTTATATATGCAGGAAGTATTTATTATTTATTTATCAAATTTGTACCCCGCCCTCTCCACAACGCAGGCTGAGGGTGGCTTCCAGGTAACATAAATACAGAATAAAACATACATAATTAAAACACAACTAAAATTAGTACAATACAAAGTGCTGGCAGCGGTTAAAAATTCAATTAGATGGAATGCTTTCAAGTGAATCTCCAACAGTACTAGAGGTTCTTCTGCTCGTCGGCTCTCATGGCAGCTGCTTGATGGTAAAATTATGGGCCGGGTGCTACAGTGGCGGTGGCCCCTAATTAAATGCCTGGTGGAAGAGCTCCGTCTTGCAGGCCCTGCAGAACTGAGAAAGGTACCGCAGGGCTCTGATCTCCTCCGGGAGCTCGTTCCACCAGGTAGGGGCCGCCATCGAGAAGGCCCCATTCCTAGTAGCAGCTAGCCTGGCCTCCCTCGGGCCAGGGAGGGTCAATCGATTTTGAGACCCAGACCGTAGTGCTCTCTGGGGTAAATACGGGGAAAGGCAGTCCCGTAGGTATGTTGGACCCCGGCCATATAGGGCTTTAAAGGTAAGAACCAACACCTTGAAGCGGATTCGGTATGCTATCGGCAGCCAGTGCAGTGTCCTTAGCACAGGCTGGATGTGCTCCCGTCTAGAGAGACCGCAACAAAGGCAGCCCCATGTAGAGAGCGTTACAGTAGTCTGGTCTCGAGGTGACCATTGCGTGGATCACTGTAGTCAGGTCGGCATGGTTGAGGAAGGGAACCAACTGCCTAATCAGCCTAAGATGATAAAAGGCCGACTTGGCAGTGGCCACTACTTGGGCCTCTGTGGTAAGGGAGGGATCCAAGAGCACTCCCAAACTCCGAACCTCCAGCGCTGGGACCAATGAAGCCCCCCCAAAGGTCGGGAGAGGGATCCTCGCCCCTGAACCGCCTCGACCTAGGCACAGGACCTCCGTCTTCGCTGGATTCAGCTTCAGCCGACTCAGTCTAAGCCAACCAGCCACGGCCTGCAATGCCCAGTCCAGGTCTTCTGGTCCGGAGTCCGACCGGCCGCCTAACATCAGATAGATGTAGAGTTTTGTGGATGTGGAGGGATGTTGTTTCCCCCCATCTGCTTTCCAGTGTGGTATAATCCAAGCACAGTGTTTCCCACCTTGTCTGGTGGTTGTATAAACTAGGCCTGTGTGCGCATGAGCTCCGTATCATTTTAATATGAATCTCCCATTCATCTTTACTGTGAAATGGTTTGATATTAGACCACTCATTCTGGTCAAGGAAACTTGTTTCTTCTTCCCCACCCCCAAACTGAGGCTACTCTAGCCACCTTGAGTCTAAGGAGATCAGGTGGGATATAAATGTTTTAAATAAAAAAAGGCCAAGCCAGGGTTTCTGAGTACTGAAGAAATCAAAGTGTTGAGTAAATCTTTTATTATTATTATTTCCTGATCCCGATGTGTTTCGCCTATGGCTTCGTCCAGGGATCCATTGTAGCAAAAGTGTCCAGTCTCACCTTGAGCATATGATAGGTCCTCTGACGAAGCCATAGGCGAAACGCATAAAGCCATAGGTGTCGTCTTCTGCTGAGATCTGAATCAACGACTGAAGTGCGGCTCATTCTCTTAGCCGCTTATACTTTATTTGAAGATTTGTATGCCTTCTCTGCAGAGACCTGCTCGAGGCGGCTCACAGATAAAACGATACAATGAAGCCATACGAGCTAGAGCATAAAACAACATTCATCAGCCTAAAATACTGTTCATCAAACAACCCTCAGGCTAAAAACAGAATATAACACGGCTATAACAAAAAAAAATAGAACCCTTCAGTTAAAAGCTTTTTATGAGGTAAATATGTCTGTGCCACAGAGAAAGGGGGGAGGGGCCCTGCCTTATCACCTCAAGGGGCATAGTGAAGCCTCAGCGTGCCCAGGAGCTACAGAAACATTTTATTTTTATCCTGCTGTTTCTCAGAAAAGCTCAGGGTGGCATATGTTGTCCTCCCCTCTTCCACTTCATTCTCACTACAGCTTTGTGATGAATAAAACTGTGTTGTTGGCAAGCAGAAAAAGGCCAGCATCAACCCAACTCCCATCCTATATAAAGGCTGGCTCACTGATTGTATTGTTAAAGTGTATGCAGGGTCATAATGAAGCAGTAATGCCTCCTCAGAAGAAAGACAGTGTGGTGTAGTGGTTAGGGTGTTGGGCTACAGCCTGGGAGAGCCCAGATTCAAAACCCCACTTTGCCATGAAGTGTGGTGGGTGACCTTGGGCCAGTATTCTCTTGGCTTTTGTTCCCCCTCCTCAGGTAGGTTAGACTAAGACAGGGGAAGGAGTGGTCTGGCCTTGAAACTTAGAGCATTCTGGATGAAGAGACCTTTTTTTGTAAACCTTTAATTTGTGTTCACAGTCTTATCCTGGCAACTCAGGCGTAGAGTTTCTGCTTTTCTTTGGCATTGCTAACAATAGATGAAGAGGTAAATCTGTGCCTGAACACTTGTAGATACTTAACATCAGTTAGACCTTTTATGCAGGAGGAAGGCTGCCTTCTCTCCCTTGGGTGCAGATGGCCTCTCCAACAGTGAGCTTGGTTCAGTATGTAAAACTACACTGCAATGTAAAGAGATGCCCTGAAGACAGCAGTAATGACTGTCCTGGTGGACCATGCTGCATTCTGGGTCAGCATGAAGAACCCTAGAGTACACATGTGGCTTGTGGGTGTCCAGTGCCTAAAATCTGGAAAAAGCTCTGTCTGGAGTAGGTTTTAGACATCTGTTTTTGACCATCTTTCTAGGAGGAGGAACCTCTTCAGCGCCTGTCTGAGGAGGAAATTGCAGCGGTCGCTGAAGTCTGGAGCAGAGGGACAGCTGCCCTTCCCAAGCCTTGGAAGCCGCAGCAGCCCGTGTACGTACCTTGCAAATGTTTTAGTGGAAACAATATGGGGGCACTGAAAATAAGCAAGAGCTGAGCTACATTTTGCACGAGGCCATTTTTACAATGTTTTGTTCCAAACAGTACAATGCAATTCCTGACTCCATAATTTTACTCTGGGCTCTTCCACATTCACATTTTTGTCACTTGTGTATCCCTGTAGCTTCGGGTTTTGGGTTTTTTTGCTTTTATGCACATGTTTTGCTCCTCTAGTGGTTGATTCAGCGTCACATCAATGTATGTCCAGCATAAAAACCTGCAGCTTAAATCAGCAGGGAGATATGCCACATATATATCAATGTAATATTGAATCGACCACTAGAGGGAGCAAACGTGGACAGAAAAAGTGGGGGGGAACAACCAAAGCTGTAGGGAGACATATGCAAGGAAAATGAGAATGTAGAATGGCCTTCTCATTACCGCATTTCCTTTTGTTCCTTAAGAAGCAACATCCACTTTGCTGTAGCATAGATGTACTCTCTACTGAAAAAGAGTCCATATTCTGTGCTAAGCAAAATTGTACTTTCAAAATGACTTTTGGAAATCTCAGGCATTTAAAAAGATATAGACATGCTTTGAGAATGCAGTGACCTCAGACCCATCTTCATGCGTCCCCATGTTTGTTTGTTTTAGCTTAATTTTTCATACAGTTGCTTAGATACAAGAAATTTGGGTGGTTTGGTAGGTTGGGCAAAATCTGTGTTGTCAGTTGTCGTGCAGAAACTCACATCCTTTACGTGGATGTTTCTGTTAAGATAGATTCAGGTGGGTAGCCATGTTGGTTTGAAGCAACAGAACAAAGTTTGAGTCCAGTGGCATCTTAACCTTGAATGAAACTTTGTTGGTCTTAAAGGTGCCACTGGACTCAGACTTTGTTCTGTGGATGTTTCTGTGAAAATGCTTGAAAGTTTTTGCACAAAACCTAACAATCAAAAAAGAAAAGCCTTTGGAAAATCAGACTTTGTGTAATTGCCAGAAACGACACATGCTGACCTGTCTTAATCACATATCGTTGTGGGCACCATAGCTGCCTCAAGGGTTGGGGGCCTGGAACTTTTAACTACCAAAGAGCAAAAGTATTCCGGAATTCTGGGCAAGAGACCAACAAAGAGCCCGTGGAAGAAAGCCCATCTGCATTACTGAAACTATACGGATTAATAATACCAATAATTTTGATGTGGTGTTTTATAATCCATGAAGATCCCACATCCAAACACTGGTTATTAGGAGTCCTCTGTTAGGCAGTGGCGCACACAAGGTCTCACAATAAGCAGTAAATATACCCAAGTGCACCCTGTGTGATTGTTTTAGAGCACTGCCATAAATCTGTGATTGGCTCACATTCGGATGACTGGCAACAGTTCATCTGATCCACCATTGGCTTCTCTTATGTTCTTATGTTCTCTATCTATAAAACAAGCCCTCTAGCTTGTTTTATAGATTTCCCTTTAGCTCCATCACATATTCCTTAATCTAGCATCCCACCTACCTCTCCAGTACACCTTAATTAAAGTATTTTCTGTTTTAAAAGTACTGTATGGAGTTGCCTTTTGTCCCCTTGGAGTCCAGCTGGTTTCTCTTTATGCCAGAGCACAACTCACCCTCTGTACAGATCCGGGTTTGTTCACGTCTCTTCTCTCCCAGGGTGCCCGTGGAAGGCATGAGGAATGTGCTGATCACTAGCGCGCTGCCCTATGTGAACAACGTGCCCCACCTTGGGAACATCATTGGTTGTGTCCTCAGTGCAGACACCTTTGCTAGGTAAGGTGCTAATGTCTCTTTTACCTGTTGACAGCATGCTAGGTCAGGAGCATAGTTCAGTATGTTTTGGGCTCTGCAGTGCTTTCTTAGTTTTGCCCGTGTCTCTCCTTGGCAGGGTACATCCAGCAGTCGCGGGGGACCGGGGGGGGAAGAGCTGAGTTGGTCATGGTAAACAGAGGATTTATTCTGTCCCACAGTGTGTTAAATATTAAGGATGCTCTGACCCCACCAGAGCTGTCCTTCTACTTGTGATTGTGGAGGCTGTGAGTGGATCTTTCAGCTACCTAGGTTAGCAAGCAAATCGGAAGCAGAAAAAAAAAAATTCAAAACTTGCACTTGGCAGAATTCCAGTGTGTGCAAAGGGGGATAGATCTGTTTTATATTAAAAAGTCTCTCTTGAATTTTGCAACTTAGGTTTTACACGAGTCTGAATGTAATTCACTGCCACAGAAAGTGGTGGCAGCTAGAAACATAGACAGCTTCAAGAGGGGAGAGGATAAGCCTATGGAGCAGAGGTCCATCAGGGGCTGTTAGCACCAAGGTGTCGATGGAACACTCTGTCTGGGGAAGTGATGCTCTCTATTCTTGTTGCCTGGGGGGCCACTGTGGGAGGGCTTCTGGAGTTCTGGCCCTGCTGGTGGACCTCCTGAGGGCACCTGGGTTTTGGCCACTGTGTGACACAGACTGTTGGACTGGATGGGCCATTGGCCTGATCCAACACGGCTTCTCTTATGTTCTTAATTAATAATAATAATACCTTTCGATTTATTGATCGCTCATCCTGCAGAGCTGCTGGCTCTGAGCGATTTACAGTTACACAAGTTTTCCCAAGGGACTAACAATATTTCATAGGGTAAGGGAGGACAACATATAATTCTTTAAATCACACACTTTTGCAGCCGACGGGGATTTTGTTCAGCTGTAAGCTTCAGGTGTGTTCCGGACGGCATTCACTTTCGGCGTGGCTAGATGACGTCAGTTCTTCCCAGACTGCTTTTTGAGTCGTAGTGCCGCACTGCCATCGCCTGGCCGGATTGGCTCATCACAGGCTTCTTAATGCCGAAGAGGTCTTTTTTCCAGGCTTCCGAGCTGGACCTTCCGTTTTTTGCTCTGATTGGTAGGGTTCCCAATGTGGTGCCCATAGGCACCATAGTACCTGCAGACACCTATCCTGGTGCCTGCCAAGTGTTTTGAGAAAGTGGCCAGAGCCAGGTGGGGCTTTTGCCATTGGAGATCTGGTTGGCTGTGCAGATTTTTTTTTAAGTTGCCACAACAGCAGCTGCCATCACAGCAGAGGGATCTTCGCTGTATGACTGAACACAAGCTTTATGCTAGACAATATTTTAAAAGAATATGTTCTTTTTAAAAGGCAGCCCGTTAAACATTCCTTCTGCCTGCAATGTTGACGTTATCGTTCGAGTCACGCGTGACCTCACTCCCTGAGACTTTGCCGTTGGCCCCGCCTTTTGTGGCAGCCATTTTGTGGTTGTGTCCACCATCCCGTGCCAGAATCCCAAAGGTGCCCAGAGGCTCAGAAAGATGGGGGAGGGGTCTCTTCCTCAACACTTGCTGCTGGAGATCCTTTAAATGGAGATGCCGAGAACGTACTGTGAGTGGCCTGAAGGCGGCTCAAACGTAAAATATTACCAAGGCATACGATAAAACATCCATTGAGCAAATCTCCTACCTGAACAACATTCATTATTGCTAAAATCTCAAGAGCCTGACTCACCTGTGGCTTATAAAGTACCGTGCTGTCCGATGGGTTGGCGAAAAGCCATTGACTGGAACTGCTTTCCATGTTTGCCTAAAGCCCAATAGAGTAGATATTCCAGTGACCTCCTCTGATCAACCGTTCTGTGGCAGAGACGCTCTGTGACCAAGCTACAGAGGCCTTTAAGATTTACTTGCTCAGGAGCTGTGAAGCGAAGCGCAATCAGTGCGTTGGTTCCTCTCTGTGGCTCAAATGAAACCTCCAGTCCTCGCCGGTAGCCACGGGTGCGCTGCCTCGTTTGCTTAAAGCACTGCTATTTCTTTCCCAGGTACAGCCGGCTGCGCAACTGGAACACGCTGTACTTGTGCGGCACCGATGAATACGGCACTGCCACAGAGACAAAGGCCATGGAGGAGGGGCTGAGCCCCCAGCAGATCTGTGACAAGTACCACGTCGTCCATGCCCAGATCTACCAGTGGTTCAACATCTCCTTCGACTACTTTGGACGCACCACGACGCCCCAGCAGACCAGGTGAGTAAACTGCTAGTCGGAAGCACACGCTAGCCTAGGGGAAAGGAAGTGGGGAAATGCTCCCTCCCTTCCCCTGCTTTTCTGGTCCTTATGTCATCTTACCTTAGAACTGCAGTAAGGCTGGCGGTTGTGCCCATTTTACAGATGGCTGGAAAGACTGAATGACTTGCCTTCTGTGGTCACAGGAACTTTGGACACCTCTCTTCAAGCCCCTATGATTTTTAAAAAATCGATTAGCTTTTTCAGAAATTGGGCATTCAAGGCAAGGTAGAGTTCTTATTAGCGTTGTGTTTAGCGCAGGCTTGTACACACCCATTCTTCTTACCGACTGTGATGACTAAGAACCTCCTTCCGGCAGATTTAGAGGGTAACCGTGTTGGTCTGCAGTAGAGCAGTCAGATTTTACTCCGGTAGCGCCTTAAGAGACCAACACGTTTTTTGGAGTATGAGTTTTTTGAGAGCTAAAGCTCCATATCTAATGAAGGGAGCTTTGACTCTCGGGAAGCTCATGCCCCTGAAAATCTTGCTGGTCTCTAAGGTGCTGCTAGATTCGAATCTAGCTGCTCTCCGGGCAAGAGTGCTCGCTCAGCCTGCTTTAAACTCCGAACGCCACTCACACTGCAGCTGTCCTGAAAGAACCTATTGGAGACCCAGGATTCCTCAGCAGCACTCGGAGTGCAAGGCAAGCCACAGTCTCCTTCCAGCACAGTGTACGCTGACTGTCTGCCAAGTTCTTTTCTTTCTTTTTTTGGGGGGGATATTTTGTGTGCTTGTGTGCCTGGAAGCCATGGTGACTTCTGGCAACCCCTATTGGAGCTTGGACGCAGAGGTGGCTTGCTATTGCCTGCCTCTGTGTCCTGGCCCTGGTATTCCTTGGAGGTCTCCCTTCCAAGTGCTGCTTAGCTTCTGAGATCTGAGAAGATCAGGCTAGCTTGGGCCACCCAAGTCAGGGCACAAAGGTGTTAGGCATAAATAAACACAGGTACAGCCCTGGCTGCCACTGCGCCAACAAAAAGCTAATGCCTAACCTTCTCCTCTCTCGTGTCTTAGGATAGCCCAGGGCATCTTCCAGCAGCTGCTGGAGCACAATTACCTGCTGACGGAGACAGTGGACCAGCTCAAGTGTGAGCACTGTGACCGGTTCCTGGCTGACCGCTTTGTGGAAGGTGTCTGCCCTTTCTGCAACTATGAAGAAGCCCGTGGGGACCAGTGTGACAAATGTGGGAAATTAATCAATGCCACTGAACTGAAGGTACTGCTGTCTCTGCAGCCGTGGACACCTAAGTCTCTATTTTTCTCTTTCCCATCTTCAGAGTGTACTAAATTTGTTAGGCTTTAAGATGCCGCTGGGCTCCTGTTTCCATCTTGCATTCCTTACGTCCCCCAGAATACCAGTGAAACCCGGGCTGTCAGTTCCACCTATACCAAAACACATTACATTAGATCTCCCCTCTCTTGGTGATGGAAAGTGCTGGTCTCAGACGACTTCTGGTGACCCTGTAGGGTTTTCCGGGTGAGAGAGGTTTAGGGGTGGTCTGCCGTTACCTGCCTCTGCGTAGCAACCCTGAAACCTCCTTGGTGGTCTCCCATCCGAGTACTCACCAGGGCCGACCCTGCTTAGCTTCTGAGATCTGATGAGATTGGGCTAGCCTGGGCCATCCATGGGAGGGCCCCCATCCTACCTACAGCGACTACCTACATGTCCACGGCCAAGGCTAGCCCAGTATCATCAGATCTCAGAGGTTAAACAGGGCTGGACCTTGGTGCTTGGAGGGGTCAACAGTGGGAGGGCTTCTAGTGTCCTGGCCCCACTGGTGGACCTCCTGATGGCACCTGGTATTTCTGGCCACTGTGTGATACAGAGTGTTGGACTGGATGGGCCTTTGGCCTGATCCAACATTGGCGTCTCTTATGTTCTTATGACCTGGTTAGTGCTTGCATGGGAGTCCACCAAGGAGCTCCAGGGTTGCTACGCAGAGGCAGGCCATGGAAATTCCACCTCTGTTCATCTCTTGCCTTGAAAACCCTACAGGGTTGCCGTAAGTCAGCTGTGACCTGATGGCCCTTTACACACGTACATACAAATGCAAAAGCCTTTATCGGCATCTATCAGGTTATCCATACGGACAGTACACAAATATAGAGGTAGCAAAGATAATTTGAGTATAAACGGTTAAGCAATTTTCAATCGGTCCTTGGTTACCAAACTTAAAAACAGGGCTACTTTTTCAGTTATTTCAGGTAGCAGGTTGTTAAGAAGACGGTACACCATCAAGGTGTCCGAATGGCTCAGCAAACTGAGTAAAATTAGATTAAAAGATTAGAATGTATATCAGCGTACTGGGAACGATAAAGAAGGATATAGGGAACCGAGCCAACGGATTCTAAGTTGCAAGCACAAAGTCTTGCAGCATATGGGATCTGTTATATCTGCCATAAGTGACTGCAGATGGAGCAGCATTGCACCTAGCAAGCCAAATGCTCTGTGCATTTGTGGAGCATGAAGGGCAAATAAATAGGGTGCTGGTCGGCTGGTAATTAGAGGGGTTTCAAAGTTCAGGGGGAGCAGGATTATTATTTTTTTGCCGAACTGGCTAACTTTTGAAGTTCGATGTCAAGAGTTGCTTTGCAGAGGCAGGCCACGGCAAACCCACCTCTCTCTCGCCTTGAAAACCCTACAGGGTTGCCGTAAGTCAGCTGTGAGATGATGGCACTTTCCACATGCAGACATGAGCTCACCATCTTCCAGGGTGCCACCCATCACACCCAACCGTTTATACCTTGGCTTTTCTCCCCAATGTGGACCCAGAGGCACTTACAACATCATTCTCCCTCCTCTCTTTCATACTAACGTTACTCAGCATTTCTGCAATACTTGGAATTATTTACACCATCTATTTATGTTATTTGTACCCCAAATTTCTCCCCAGTGGGGACCCAAAGTGGCTTACCTTGTTCTCCTCTCCTCAAGCTTATCCTCACCACAACCCTGTGAGGTAGGCTAGGCCTGAGAGTGCAAGACTGACCCAGAGCCTCACCCAACAGTCTTCCGTGGCAGAGGATTTGAACCTGGGTCGGACACTCTAACCGTGACACCACACATTCCGAGGTGCTTCATGTACGTTCCTCAGGGTTTGAGCTGAGTGCACCATGGACTTTCCTTCTCTGTCCCCTTCCAGTGTGGCGTAGTGGTTAAGAGTGGCAGACTTGAATCTGGAGAACCATGTTTGATTCCCCATCCCCCCTCCGCATGAAGCCAGCTGGGTGGCCTTGGGGCAGTCACCGTTCTCTCAGAGCTCTCTCAGCCCTGCCTACCTCACAGGGTGTCTGTTGTGGGGAGAGGAAGGGAAGGCGATTGTAAGCTGCTCCGAGACTCCTTCAGGTAGTGAAAAGCAGGGTATAAAACCAAACTCTTCTTCTTCTTCCATCAGAAACCTCTGTGCAAAGTCTGTCAGAGGACTCCAGTGGTGAAGCCCTCCCAGCACCTCTTCCTGGACCTGCCCAGGGTGAGTCTCTGTGTGAATAAGGGTGTGAACAACACGGATCACCTGTCATTGTTAACCAGGGGCGGCAAACTCTGGACCGTGCCACTTGGTACCTCATTCACTCTTTGGTTTCCCTGCCCCCCCCCACCAGCTTGAAGACCGCCTGGAGAAGTGGCTGACCTTGTCCCAGTCCACTGGGGACTGGACCCCCAACGCCAAGTTCATCAGCCGTGCCTGGATCCGCGATGGGCTCAAGCCTCGTTGCATTACGCGTGACCTGAAGTGGGGCACACCAGTCCCGTTGGATGGGTTCCATGACAAGGTGAGCAGGGAGGGGGAGTTGAGAGGCACGGAGGAAGGAAGGAAGGAAGGAAGGAAGGAAGGAAGGAAGAAGGAAGGAAGGAAGGAAGGAGAATCAACAAATTCCTGAAAGCAGGAAGTGTTAAGCGCAGGTCACAGCTGATTTATAGTGACCCCGAAAAGGGGCTTTTTCAAGGCAAGTGAGAAGCAGAGGTGGTTTGCCATGGCCTTCCTCTGCAGAGTCTGCCTTGGCAGTCTCCCATCCAAGCACTGTCCCTGCTTAGCTTCCCAGATCCATGCCACACAAGTATATGAAGAATCCTGGACAACTGGCGGGGGTGGGGGGTGGCTGGCTCAGGTGAGGGGGGGGAGAGAGAAGGCAAGACAGAGCTTCCACAGGCAGAGCAGGGTGCTGTATGATCTTTCAGGCCATCTACCAGGTTGTGATATCTCTGAGCCTGCCCTCCTGTTCCCCATTAAGCTCAATGGGGATTAGAAAACATTTACACGATCAGTGTTCGCATGTCAGCATTTGCATTTGCTCACCTTCCTTCAGTGCTCTCCTTTCCCACTGCCCCCTTGCCAGTTCTCTTCTCCATCATGTCTTTTCTAGAACCTTCCTCACGCCCCCTGAGTAAACAAGTTGTAGACCTCAGTGTCTTCAGAATGTTTCCACTCAGTTTATACTGAATTCCCCGAAATCTGATCCCTGAAATCTGATCAGCTGAACAACTCCCGCTATATGTAAAAGATAAGAACAGAAGAGAAGCCAATGCTGGATCAGGCCAATGGCCCATCCAGTCCAACACTCTCTGTCACACAGTGGCCAAAAATACCAGGTGTGAATGCGAAATATATAATCCCTTAGGAAAATGGTTCCCCATGATAGAAAAAATAACCTTTGATAACTTTAATTGGGAAAGCATCAATAAAGCTAGATATAAAATAATGATTTACAGTTGACAAGTTATAAGTTTATCACTCTGTATTCCGAAAGAATGTAAGTTGTTATGAGATAGAAACCTTATAGTATTCTTTTTTTTTTCTTCTCTAAGTGAAGCAACCTATATTTGTGTATTATAATGTTGAATTCTGTATTCCTTTTGAAAAAGAATAAAAATTGTTTGGGGGAAAAATACCAGGTGCCATCAGGAGGTCCAGCAGTGGGGCCAGGACACTAGAAGCCCTCCCACTGTTGCCCCCCCCCCAGCACCAAGAATACAGTGCATCCCTTGCCCCAGACTGAGAGTGACTGAAACAGATGGTGAAGGGGGTAGGGCTGTGAAAGGGAGCAGGAGAGTAAAGAAGAAAGAAGACATCAGAAAGTGATAAATAAAAGACTGACAGGAAGTGAGAAACTGAGGGTGTGAGCAAAAGCAGGAAAAAAAGTGAAGGAGAGAAGAGGAAAAATAGCCATGACTTTTTTTTGGGGGGGGGTGCAAAAATTATGATGGCAACTGTAATGATTTCATGTTTTAGTGTGTCTGTTTCTTTAAATGTTTAATTTGACTGCAGTAATGTAAGGAGAGTGATAGAGGGAGATGAGTGTGATGTGATTGGCTGATGACAGAGAATGTGGGAGGAGGGGTGTCTCTGAGGTGCTTCTGTGTTTTTGGAGAGACGAGTGTGGAGAATTTTTGAGTTTAGCCTGTATGGCAGAAGAAGCAGTTTGAGTCTGTCCTGTGTGGCTAAGACAAACAGTTTAGCCTGTGTAACTAAGAGAGGCAGAGTTTAGCCTGACTGGCTAAGGCTGTCGGAGTTGAGTTTTGGTGTTTCGAGAGACAGTGTGTGACGCCAAGCTTTATCAGTTATATTTATAAGTTCCTTTCTTCAACAACAGTTCAAAAATACCCAGAAACCTATTTTATTCTTTTATAAATAAACCATTATTTGTTTAAACTTAACCCAGCAGTCAGAACAGTCGTCCTTCCTCAGGGCCACATAGTCCTCTGAAGTGCCCAGACACAGAGTCATTCTACCATAATAGATTGGGTATTTTTAATTCCTGGTGGCAGCAGTAATCTACCAAGTTTATGTGAACATAGAGTGTTTTAAAAGGAAAAACAGTGTCCCCAGTAAGGAGGACATCACAGCAACATTACGACTTGTTATGTGCTTGAAGTTCAGTGGTTCCCCTCCAGCCATCTGTGGTTCCTGGGCTGGGAAAAGCTGTTGATCTAGATGGCCAGGCAGCCAATTCCTTGAATCTAGACTTCAGTCTGGTCTCAGCAAAGGTCAGTGGAGCACCGCTCCTCCACGCAGCCGGGCTTCTGTTAGCACGCCTGCAGAGATGCTTTCGCAAGTGGCTTCCGAGTTTACATAGTGTGGGGTTAGAGAGTGTGGGGTTTACGTGGCTCACGCTGGGGAGTTCCTTTGCACAGTGACTTTCTCGGCTTCCCCAGAAAATGCTGGCTTTTCATGCAGCGGGGCATTTGACAGTGCGATTCTCTGTCTGCCAGATTTGGGGGTGGGTGGGTGTATATATTTATTTTAATCTGTTCCGAAAACATAGACCCTCTTCCCTTCCGTTAAACAAGTGCTGGAGGGAAGTACAGATATCATTTCACCAAATGGTTGTTCCCATTTGCTAAGAGGAGAGGAATACGGGGGGGGGGGGGTGGGGGAGA